GACCTTCACAGAGTTCGTACTCGACTTGTCATACCCAGGCTGATTACCAAAACAGCCCTCCCCCTAGTTACAAAATACCGCTCCCCCCAATTATTAAAATACTCCCCCTCCTGTCTACCAAACTCTCTCTCATATCTACCAAACTTCCCCTCCAATTTACCAAAATCCACCTCATTACTACTGGAATGTCACCCCCAACTGTGCTAACGTTCAAGCAAATAACCCCAGCTCCACTTTACCAAAATACCCTCTCGAACTACCAAGCTCCACAACCAAACTACCAAACCAACTCATATCCCAGATATCAAACCCCCCGTCCAAATGCTCTAAATTATCGTCAAATTTCTCCTACTCAACAAGTCAATTACGATCACTCCCATCCTAGATTAGAAGCCTGCTAGAAATTTCACTCCGCTCATTGAAAGTCAAACAAATTGTTCGAGCGATTAACTGCGACAGGATATATTCATCCAGTAGGGCCCAAATCGGTTGACACTAGCTCAAAGTTTTACAGACCTGACCAAAGGTGCGCATATAACTCCAACAGTGTTGGACATGATACCGAGGACTGTATCAACTTGAAACATAAGATTCAAGACCTGATTGACCAGAACGTGGTCTCTCTTCAGACGGTCGCGCCCAATGTCAACAATAATCCTTTGCCAAATCATGGAGGCATCACTATCAATATGATAGAGATGGATGATGATTGGTGCGTGACAAAGACAATAGTTCTGATTGTTCCTGATGAATTGGAAAGGCTTGTAGCCTCGTTGAGCATTAGAGAGAAGAAAAAATTTATGATTCTGACACCTGAGAAAGCTGTTGCCTTGGTGCCACGAGAAATTTTTACCCGGCCAAAGTTTGTGATTGAAATGGCTGCTACCCAGGGTATGACCAGATCAGGCAGGTGCTACACACCGGAAGAGTTGACTCAAGGAGGGCAGAAGAAGGACAAAAAAAAAAGGCCGATCAATGAAGCCGAGGCAGAGTAGTTCTGGAGAAAAATGCAGCTGAAAGATTATTCAATTGTGAAACATTTGGAGAAGACGCCAGCTCAGATTTTTGTATGGGCTTTGTTGATGAGTTCACAACTGCATAGGCAAGCGTTGATGAAGGCTTTGGATGATACTTATGTGCCCGTGGGTACAAACAGTGACAGTCTAGAAGCCATGATAAACCAGGTCATTCGAGGACACCGAATCAGTTTTTGTGACGAAGAGCTTCCATTTCAAGGCAGGATGCACAACAAAGCTCTGCATGTCACTATCAAATGCCGAGACAAAATTATAAATCATGTGTTGGTCAACGATGGGTCGGGTCTCAACATCTGCCCGCTTTCGACTCTCAAGCAGCTAAAATTCGACTTGGGAAAGGTTCAACAAAACCAGGTCAATGTGAAAGCTTTCGATGGAGTGCAGAGAGACACAATAGGGGCAGTGAACTTTTCAATTGAGATGGGTCTCGCAGAGTTTAACGTGGAGTTCCGGGTGTTGGATATCAACACCAGTTATAATCTGCTTCTACGAAGACCATTTATCCACATGGCTGGGGATGTGCCTTCTACCCTTCACCAACTGATAAAATTTGTTTGGAAGGACCAAGAATTGGTCATTTATGGTGAAGGGAACCATTCCAACGGGTATGCACCGATCGTTGATGATGTCTCTCGAGGTTGTGATTTTTACACGGTGGAGCTGGTAAATGCCACCGGTGATGACTTGGGTCCACAACCTCTCATGCCTGCCATATACAAGATGATTGCTACTGTCATGCTCCAGAATGGTTTCGAAATAGGTTTCGGGTTGGGGAAGCATTTCCAAGGAATTGTCGAGCCCATTCAAATTATTGCCAGAGGAGCAAAGTTTGGTTTAGGGTATGTCCCCACCGATGATGAAGCTGAGATGAAGAACAAAAGTGTTGATTAAGCCTTGGCCAGGCCAATTCCTCATCTGTACCAGTCATTTCCGGTACGAGGACACGTTAGTGATGATGGTCTCGGGGAAGGAATCTGGGGCCTTTTTGAGGAGATTAATGCGGTCATCGAGGATGAGGTTGGGACATCGGGCATCCGTGATGTAGAACCTGAGGAGCAATTGCAGAATTGGACCTCTACACCGCTCCTGATTTCCCGTGCAGCTTGGTAGAAAAGACATGTGTCTTTGTTTATTTTTAAAATTGGTGGTAGTCCGGAAGAGGCCCGAGACCCACCCTTTATGAAGTTTTTGTTTGTTTGAAGTTCTTTAAATTCCCTTATGATGTTTAAAAAAGAAAAATGGCCCTCGACTATGGCTAAAGTTTGTGCTTGTTTTTTCAATTTAAATGAAAGCCTCTCTTATCGAAAAATTTTTACTTGTCTATTTATATTTTACTTTTCTAACTTTGTCTATTTATGATTTCAGTAATAATAATTTAAAACCTGCCAATGTCATGTCATGTCATGAACCGAGTTAACAAAATGAGGTAGGTGATGATGAGTGCGGGGAATATGAAGAAGAAAATAAGGTACCCGAACATGTTGCCGAAGAGTTTCGACAATTTGATAATCAATACAAGCCAAATTTGGAAGAAACCAAAACTGTGAATCTCGGAGACGAAGAATGTGTTAAAGAAGTAAGAATCAACGTCCATCTGACCGACGCTCAAAGAAGTGACCTGGTTCGTTTACTTAGAGAGTACATTGATGTATTTGCCTGGTCTTACAGAGACATTCCAGGATTGAGTACGAATATGGTGTTCCACAAATTGCCGATTAATCCAGATTTTGGTCTAGTAAAACAAAAGACTCGAAAGTTCAAGCCTGTGTTGAGTTTAAAGATCAAAGAGGAGATTACCAAACAGATTGAGTCTCAAATAGTGGAAGTGATGCAGTATCCGACGTGGTTAGCCAATGTTGTCCCGGTGGCCAAGAAAGACGAAAAGATCAGAATTTGCGTTGACTACAAAGATCTCAACAAAGCTAGCCCGAAAGATAATTTTCTATTACCAAAAATTTACATTCTCATTGATAATTGTGCCAAGCATGAGATGCAGTCATTTGTGGATTGTTACGCAGGTTACCACAGATCCTAATGGATGAAGAAGACGCAGAAAAGACAGCTTTCATTACACCTTAGGGTGTATATCACTATCGGGTGATGCCGTTTGGTCTCAAGAATACTGGTGCTACTTATATGAGGGCTATGACAACTATTTTTCATGATATGATCCATAAGGAGATTGAGGTATATGTAGATGATGTCATAATCAAGTCCCGCGAGAGTTCGGATCATTTGAGTTACTTGAGGAAATTCTTTGATCGTCTACGCCGATACAATCTGAAGTTAAATCCGCTAAATGTGCTTTTGGAGTGCCAGCTGGTAAGTTATTGGGGTTTATAGTCAGTAGAAGAGGCATTGAACTTGATCCTTCCAAGATCAAAGCGATTCAATAATTACCTCCTCCGAAGACCAAGAAAGAGGTGATGAGTTTTCTGGGAAGGTTAAACTACATTAGCCGGTTCATAGCTTAATCCACCGTGGTGTGTGAGCCCATCTTCAAGTTGTTGAAAAAAGATGCATTGACCAAGTGGATCGGAGAATGTCAAACTGTTTTTTATACCATCAAGAATTATTTATCCAATCTGCCGCTATTGGTGCCTCAACGAGAAGGAAGTCCATTGTTATTGTAGCTGTTTGTCTCGGATAATGTATTTGGATGCGTGTTGGGTCAACATGAGGAAACTGGGAAGAAGGAGCGAGCCATCTATTACTTGAGCAAAAAATTCACTCCATATGAGGCTCGTTACACTCTTTTGGAGAGGACATGTTGTGCTTTGACTTGGATTGCTCAGAAGTTGAGACATTATTTGTCTTCTTATACCACATACCTTATTTCTAGAATGGATCCATTGAAGTATATCTTTTAGAAAGCGATGTCAACTGGGAAATTGGCCAAATGGCAGATGTTTTAAGTGAGTTTGATATTGTGTATGTGACTCAAAAGGCGATAAAAGCACAAGTCTTGGCTGATCATCTTGCGGAGAATCCGATTGATGAAGAGTATGAACCGCTCAAGACTTATTTTCCCAGTGAAGAAGTAGCATTTGTGGGTGAAGATATTTCTGAAGCATATCCTAGTTGGAGAGTGTTCTTTGATGGAGCGACGAATCATCAAGGGAAAGGTATCGAAGCAGTCTTAGTGTCAGAATCTGGTCAGCACTATCCTATGGCGGCCAAACTCTAATTTGACTACACGAACAACATGGCTGAGTATGAAGCTTGCATCATCGGTCTGAAGATGGCAATTGATTTGAACGTTCATGAGCTCCTGGTTATTGGAGATTCTGACTTGTTGATTTACCAAGTTCAAGGAGAATGGGCCGTGAAAAACTTGAAGATCACACCGTATGTACAGTATGTACAGAAGTTGTGTAAGACATTTCACAAGGTTGAATTCAGACACACTCCCAGGACGCAGAATGAGTTAGCTGATGCCCTTGCCACCATCACATCAACGGGTAAACATCGGGATACAAGTTATATTGATCCAGTGGAATAAAGGTAAATAAGCAGCCTGTCCATTGTTCACATGTTGAAGCAGAACCAGATGGTTTGCCTTGGTATCTTGACATCAAGAAGTATTTAGAGACCGGGACCTATCCTGAGAATGCAACGTTCAATCAGAAGAAGTCGATACGACGTATGGCCCTCAACTTCTTTGCAAGTGGGGAAATCCTTTATAGGAGGACTCCAGATTTAGGTTTTCTCAGATGTGTTGATGCTAGTGAAGCCGCGATGCTTCTGGAACAGATACATGCCAGAGTTTGTGGTACTCACATGAATGGACTCACTTTGGCAAGAAAAATCCTTCGAGCTGGTTATTTTTGGATGACTATGGAACATGATTGTTGCAAGTTTGTGCAGAGATGTCATAAATGTCAAGTGTATGGTTATCTGATTCGAGTCCCACCTCATGAACTCAATGCTATGAGTTCACCTTGGCCGTTTGTAGCTTAGGGCATGGATGGCATTGGTCCAATAGAGCCAGCCACCTCTAACGGACACAGATTCATTTTGGTTGCCATTAATTACTTCACCAAGTGGGTAGAAGCAGCATCGTACAAGTCAGTGACCAAGAAAGTTGTAGCCGATTTTGTTCCCAACAATCTGATATGTAAGTTTGGAGTACTAGAATCCATCATCATTGATAATGGGGCAAATCTCAACAGTCATTTAATGAGAGAGATATGTGAACAATTCAAAATTACTCACCGAACTCAACCGCTTATCGTCCCCAAATGAATGGAGCCGTAAAAGCCGCCAACAAGAACATAAACAAGATTTTGAGGAAAATGATTGATAATCGCAGAGGTTGGCATGAGATGTTGTCGTATGCTTTGTTAGGTTATCGAACGACTATCAGTACATCAGTTGGAGCTACTCCATATTTGCTAGTATATGGAACAGAGGTAGTTATACCTGCAGAAGTTGAAATACCTTCATTGAGAATCATCCAATAAGCGGAATTAGTGATGCTGAATGGGTTCGCAAATGGATTGATCAGTTAACACTGATTAACGAGAAAAGAATGGTGGTTGCTTGTCATGGTCAACTGTATCGACAGAGAATGATTCGTGCTTTCCACAAGAAAGTAAGAGCCAGAATGTTTGAAGTTGGTCAGTTGGTCCTCAAACGTATTTTCCCTCATCAGGATGAGTACAAAGGGAAATTCTCACCGAATTGGCAAGGACCCTACATGGTTCACAAAGTATTATCTAGAGGTGCCTTGGTCCTGTCGGAGATGGATGGCGCCGAATGGCCGAAACCGATCAACTCAGATTCTATCAAGAGATACACGCGTGAAGTCTCAGTTTGTATTTTTGCTTACTTCTTTGTAATCACTTTGTTTAGATCTTTTATCCCTTTTGTAACGAACTACGTCTTACCTGAATTCTCAAGAATGAGATATGTAGGCGGCCTATGTCAGCCTCGGTCACCCCTTTATCCTTTTTAATATTTTTCCTTGTTTTGAACTACGTTCGACCTGAATTCTCAAGAATGATATACGTAGGCAGCCTATGTCGGCCTCGATCATTTTCTTTGGAAATTTCTTATTTTTGTTAATCCTCGATAAGGGGAACTAAGTTTGACATGAATCCTGCTTCAACAGGATACGTAGGCGCCATAACGGCTCGGTCATACCATAAGATTTCTATTTTTTCTTTACAATAGAAACTGGGACATAATTTTTGAGAGGGACCCAAAAATTCTCAAGTAAAAGATCTCTCCAACAAAGTCAAGACTGAAGTTACTTTGAGATTTGCAACTGGGACAGAGTTTTTGAGAGGATCTCAAAAATTCTGTGATTTACTCACCAACAGTTTGATATAAGTCAAGATAGTTAACTGGGACAGAAATTTTGAGGATGGCCTTAAAATTTCAACAAGGTTCATCGACAGTTTGGAACAACTTTGAATACTTCCCAGCAAATAATCAGATAGACTTCGAGGTATCCACCTCAAAGACGTTCATTCAGCTCGACGTGACATGACACTTGGTAGTGACCTTTTCCAAACAATACTTTAGACCTATTTTCCTTAAAACCCTTCTTTCATGCCTCAATTAATTTGCATAAAAATATTTTGTCTTATCTATCAAGAAGCGGGAGATCGGAGAAATCAATCGGAGATAGCAAAATAAGGAGCGGACAATCGAAGAGATCGACACAGATCAGTTCATTTTTAAACTAACAATTTTTCTATGGATGCAGGTCTATAAGCTCACCTCAGGATCAGTATCTTCCTCCATTCAATAAATATGGAGAAGTTGAAACGGAGAGGAACTCCCCAAAATTAATAATTTTTCTGTGGATGTAAGAAATATTTTATGTTTCTTATTTCAAATATTTGGGAATATGAGTAGCACTATTTCATTCAATTCTCAACAAGGAGAGGTCCATAATGAACATGCAATTATGTTCGGAGATGGAACAAATGAAAACCTTGAAGAGAGAAACTTTATTGTTTTTCATCAACTAAAGGTATCTGGAAGACGTTTATTTGCATTATATTATCGAATATGATAATATTTCCTACTCGGAGGGTCATTTACATTGTATTGTCAAATGAGATGATACCACTACTCCGAGGGTCATTTTTATTATATTGTCAACTGAGATGATACCTCCACCCAGAAACTACCAGAAGATCACTTATGTTGCTCGGTGGAGCATTATCTTCGTTCGGTATCGGGGATGGCGCCATCAGAAAGGATTCATACATTACGAGAAAAATGTCATGCATCGCGAGAAAAAAGATTCATGCATTGCAAAAGAAGATTCATACATTGCAAAAGAAGATTCATGCATCGCAAGAGAATATTCATCATTGCAAGTGAATTCATGCATCGCGGAAAAGAATTCATGCATCGCGGGAAAAGATCATGCATTGCAAGAGAAAATGAGTCAGGCATCGTGGGAAAGAAATTCATGCATAACAAGAGAAGGATTCATGCATCGCGGAAGAGAAGTCATGCATCGCGGGAAAGAGATTTACGCATAGCGAGAAGAAGAAACCATGCATAGCAAGGGAAAAAGTCATGCATTGTGGGAAAGAGAGTCATTCATAGCAAGAGAAGGATTCATGCATCGCGGAAAAGAAGTCATGAATCGCGGAAAAGAGTCATTCATCGCAAGAGAAATGAGTTATGCATCACAAGAAAAAAATTTACCCATCACAAGAAGATCAACATCGACTGCATCATTTTTCCTTTGCAAAAACGACATCAAGAGAACTGTCAACACATTACATCAGCCTATTTTATTACTTTGACATCAAAGAAAGAGTGCATTGAAGATTATATTGCAAATATGAGACACAAGCTTTATTTGCTTTGCATCAAGCCCAATGGAGTTGACATCAAATGTTCAAGGAGAGCAATTAAGTGTCAACACGGTAAAGACACTGTCTCTCTTTCGAATCACATTTTTATGCTAATGAGTTTTATCTCAGTCTTTGTCGAGAGCATCCGAAAGGATGAATTCTCCAAAAACAAACCACAGGTGCAGACGACATAAAAAAGGATGCAGTATAAGGTGGAACTTTTTCTTAGCAGCGAACTGGGACATAGTCCAAAGAGGAGTGCCAAACTCTTAGGACGCGAGCAGAGGAGCGACTTCCACCACAATCAAACCACATCCCTATCAGAAGGCATGTGAGTTTTTCTTTAGGTTTCCTGGTTTCAATTTTGCATCCGGGAAATTTTTGGTCCACCGGAAGCAACTTTCCAAATCAGAGTGACAATGCTCTAAGAGCTTTGGAAATTATGTCCGTGTAAGTTCTTATTTATGGGTGTGAAGCATGCCACGTTCATGGCTAAGAGGTTGCAAGCCTCCTTTTCATACTAGCCTTACCTTGTCGCTTTTCCAAAACCAAAGGTGATCTAACATAATAGATTTCCTTTTTAACCAATAGAGTCGAACTACAAGAAGACTGATTCCTTAAGTTGAGGGATATGTAGGTGGGCTCAATGTTGAAAACTCGGTTGTATTCCAACATTCGCTCTTAAATCTTATTTTCGAGCATTCTGATTTCTTCATAATTTGATATCAGATCGCTTTTGAATTCTTTCAAAATCGTGCGTTAAATCAAGCGCATTGAGCTACACGTGGCCTGAATTTTCATATAGCTCGAGATATGTAGAAAACCTACTTCCGGGGTTCGTCCATAATTCCTAAAGTCCGTACCAAAATCCCTTTACAGAAAAGATGAAGATATGGTCGGTCAAAATAGGATTTGTCAATTTCATTTTCCTCGAATTTCTTGCATCAATACAAGTAAAATGAGGGACAGTTGTTGACACCCAATTTTGACACTCCCCGATAGAGATTAATCATCGAGCTTCCTAAATTCTAAATGATTTAATATAATTGGCTTTATAAAACTCAAAATAATTTTCAAGTCATTTTAAGTAGTTTTGTCATTTTTATAAATTTTAAGATAATAGATATGATATTTTATTTAATTATGTGTCTAGTTGGTATATTTTATGAGATGTTCGAAAATTGTCTCAAAAGGATTTTAGTTTTATTTAAATATTTGGTTATTTAGTTTAAATTAATTAATAGCTTATATTTTGAGTTAATTAGCTTATAATTAAGTTAATTATTTTATAATTATGTGTCTCATTAGTATATTTTACGAATGTTCAAAAATTATCTCAAGAAGATTTTAGCTTTATTTAAATATTTGGTTATTTAGTCGTTTATATTGTTAAATTAATTAGTTTATAATTAAGTTAATTATTTTATTTTGTTAAGATTAAGAAGCTCATTAATTAATTAATATCAATTTGTCTTGTTTAATTACTAGCCGAATCTATCTTAACTAAATTGAATTGGCTAAGTTCTTCTAATTCCCTTTCAACCGACCCCACCCCTATTTATTTTTTTTCAATTAATACCATACCCATACAATTACAATACATACTCTACTCCACCAGCAGCCCAAAACCCCACCTCAGCCGACCCATTTCCGCAAATAACCCAGTAAAATAATAACAACAACATATACCAACCGATCCCAAGCCCATTTTTCCATCAGCCTACAATCATTCCCAGCGGCCCATTTCCCAATTCCCCTTCTATTTTTAGCAGTCCAATTCATACACTGACCCGGTCCAATTTCGATCAGTAGAAAAAACCCATTAACATCTCCTTCAACGTTAACAGTGAAGCGAGTTCACAGAGCAATACACAGCGTGAACATGGAGAATACACGAAAAGCAACAAGGAACAGAGAGTACACTGCGAATTTCATCTTCTTCCTCAACGTCTCTCTCCATAATACTGTTGCAGCAGCACCTGCCAGCCCGCGTTTGTCCTTGCTAGCGCGAGATGAAGACACGACGAGCAGTGGGTACAAGGGAGTCGATCCCAAGCATCGATTCACCCCTTCCATTTTTGGAATGGGTCAAAATCGCAGAAAGAGGGTGTTTGTCCAAAATGGTGAAAGATTTTGATTTTGAATTTGGAATTGGGCTCACTCCTATGGAATTTCGTCCGTTTCCCCCCATTTCGAAACCCTAATTTTCCTTCTATATATGTGGCATATTATTCACTGTTAAGGGAGGGGGGAAAGAGATTGAAGAAAAGTTTTTTTTGAAAGAAATATAAATACAAGAATACACACATAATAAGAGAAAATCAGTAGCTAGACTCAAGCGAGAATCGATAAAAAAAATTCTTCTGTACTCGCCGCTTGCAAAGCTCATCGAAATCTCGTTGTGGTAGCGAAGTTGTCATTCCTCTGCTTGTTCTGTGTCGGTGCCGCTGCCCTCGAAAAAGTGATACTCATTTTGATTTATGTCTCTTTTATTTTAACGTGACAACTGTTTGGATCTTGGACTGCATATAGTGTTTGAAATATTAAAGTTTGAGAGCATGTTTGACTCATCGTCGGCTGCAAATCAATGTTGTAACTCGTTTTGTTATTTGTTTTGTTGTGGTTGATTTAGTCTGCTTGGAAGATTTGATGACTCCATTTGTTCGCGATTCCTTTTCTCTTTACCGATTGTCTCGTTTCGGATGATTGAGATAGTGGGAGATTTAGTTGTGAAGTTCGAAACCACCTTCTATGAGTGATTTCAGCTTTCGTAATCTGATACACAACTTGTTCCCATTCCTTGCTTATTCCGATTTAGCATAAATCCATGGGTTGTTTAGCTCCCTCTTCATGTCTGCTTATAAATGATTTTTTTTACATGAAGCTTGCCAACTAATGCGGTTTGTTTGCATTTTTCTTTTACTTTTTAGTTAATCACTCTAGTTTATTAACTTTTCTTTTGCTTCTTGTTTTCATGAGTATGGTCATTAGCTTATTTGGCATATTTGTTCTTTGAGTTTGGTCGAGTCCACCTTCTTTACTATCTAAGATTTCTATGAGTTCCATGCCCATCGTTAATCAGTTCCAATAGATTGCGAGAATATGCAAGTCTTAGTGTATAGTGGTGCATCCCACCCTTTCCCTTGTTTTTTTTAAGCTTTCTATCGTAGTTAGCTTTGTCTAAGTTAATTACTTTATTTTGTTATGAGTTTCCTGTCGTGCTTACATATGGACTATCATGTTTCGTCTAGTATAATTCATGATATAATATACCTAGTTGATTTTAGTTTTATATGATTTTTTTGCTAAATTTTGTTTTTTTGTCTGATCTTTTTTTGTTTGTTTGTCTTTACTGTCAAGTTGTCGTATAGATGCACTATATTTAATACAATGTGTTTGTTTATTAATCAAGGTGCAATGACTCCTTTTATTTGTAAACTATATGTTGCCAACTGTTCGCTACTTTGTTTAATCTCAATTGATTGGTTTTGCTTGCTCAAAATGTGTTTAGTTGGTTTCCTTTGGATACATTATTGTTTTTCCCTAAATTGGTAAATCTTGTTATCATTTGGAGCTATGGTTTGTAATGTGATTCTTTTTGAGTTCTAATCATTTTTTTCTTTTGTTTCATGTGATACTATCCGAGTCCTCTCGGACTCCTATCTTCTACCCCATATTCCGGATGGGCCATAAAGGCCCGCATCCACTTATTTCTATCGAGTCCAAACAGTTGGTGTACAGGTTGAAAGCAACAGATAGAGGCTGAAATTCAAATTTTCAAGCTCCAAAAACCTTAAAAGGGGCTGTATACACTGATATACCTGATGTATACAGTGGCATACAATAAAAATACAAGTGATATACTGGTTAAATTCGGAGTCACAGGCTGAAACACGCAAAAATGCAGGCGTACAGGTTTAAATACGGATATACG